ATTAACCTCAGTCTGGGGCCCTCCTTGGTGCAGGCTAGTGATGCCTTCTCGCCAGCAGAGGGCGTGCTCCCCTCCCTTAGTGGACTCAAAGCTCAAGATCCAGGAGGCCTAAGAAATAGGGCTTTCTCTTAGCCCAGAGAGGGTCAGTTTTGCATTTAAATATTTAAATATGTATGTAAGTTTACCTTTTCACTTTATCACATTCCCTGGGGGACTGTCCTTATCTATGATCACTTTCTTTAGGAGACACTTTCCTGGATAGAATCTGTGCCTCAACCAGCCAAACCTATAAACTTGACTGTAGTCATGTGGTGACTAACCAATTAGCTTTGGGGCCATAGACTAAACAAGAATATTGTCCTTACAAAACAAGTAAAAACACTGACAGATTTATTTTTATTTTTTTTACAATAGCCAAAGTGGCCTCAAATTTCTAACTATTCTTACAAAAGTAGTTTCAGAGATTCTTTTTTAAAAATAATCTTCCAACTTAAATTTTTTTTTCATTGATTTCAGAGAGAAAGGGAGGGAAAGAGAAATAGAAACATTAATGATGAGAGACTCATCAATCAGCTGTCTCCTGCACAGCCCCCAACCAGAGGTTGAGCCTGCAACCTGGGCATGTGCCCTGACTGGGAATCGAACTGTGACCTCCTGGTTCATCGGTTGAGGCTCAACCACTGAGCCACACTAGTGGGGCCAAACTTTTTTTTTTAATCCTCATTAAAATCCTCATTTAATCCTCATATGTGTTAGAGAGAGGAAGGTAGGGCAAGAGAGAGAAACACCGATGTGAGAAACAAACATGCATCAGTTGCCTCCCATACATGCCCCGACCAGGAATCAAACCTGAAACCTAGTATGTGCCCTGATTGGGAATTGAACCTGAACCCATTTTGGTCCCTGGGATGATGCTCTAACCAACTAAACTACCTGGCCAGGGCAAAGTTTTCGAACTTTAAACATCACTTGAATTTGTGGATCCCACTCCTCAATACACATCTCAGATGGTGGAAAATAAGTCTCTAGTCACAGGTTGTTTTTTCCTGAACACAGGCTCTCAGCCAGAAGACAGCCGGCGTGTGTGGAGGGGGAGGGAGACTGCCATGCAGACCCCAGATCACTCCCATCAGTTCCCAGGAGCTGGAGTTGTTCCAAGCTGGCCCAGGACAGTCGGGCCTTATACTCCTGCACAGACCAGTCATTGGATCGGATCACCCAGGAGGGCATGACCTTGGGCCAGGTGGCACTGAAAACTGTCCACTGATAGTGCTCATAGCAGCTCGGGGAACAAGTCCTTCCATGAAGGGGACAATCCACCTGGGGTGGAGGCCACAGGTGTCCGGGCTGCCATCTGCCAGGACTTGTTGGTGCCCTTCCCTCAGCCAAGCCCCTGCTGGGCTCAGATGTTAGGCTACTGTGCCTGCCCTGCTGGCTCTTGGCCCAGCCTAAATGTTTCTTTAAGCAGATCCTCTGCTTACTGGCCAACCTCTCAGTGGCAGAAGACCCGCCCAGAAAGATGGTTGTCTCTCCTAGAGAATTATGGGTGGTTGTCAGGTGGGAACCCTATTGTACAGAGAAGTGAGAAGGTGCCGGCTTTGTTGGGGTGAATTTGTAACGTCGTCATGCCTCAGTTCTCAACACGAAAGAGTACCCTACATACAGCCACCCTGTTATTCTGACTGCTCATTGTTTTCCCCCTTATATTTTTTTCTTTTTAAATATATGTTTATTGATTTCAGAGAGGAAGGGAGAGGGAGAGAGAGAAACATCAATGATGAGAGAGAATCATTGATCGGCTGCCTCCTGCACGCCCCACACTGGGAATCAGGTCCACAACCCAGGCATGTGCCCTAACTGAGAATTGAACCGTGACCTCCTGGTTCATAGGTCGACACTCAACCACTGAGCCACACCAGCTGGGCTGTTTTCCACCTTAAATACCACTGTCTGTGCCTACGCACTGCCTCTCCTCAACAGTGCTCCCCTTCTTCAATTTTTATCCATCTGCCAAGGTGGCCCATATGCCCGTGATGGGCTGATCACCCCTGCTTGCTGACTGCTCCTGTGTCTATGAACTGCTCCCTCTTGCCCGGAGAGGGGCCTTTCCCCAAGCTCATGTCTTCCGGCCTTTCTTTTCTTGCTCAAGCCACCTTTCCAGAACTGGGGTGTGCTCACTTCTCTCTGTGTTGGACTTCTCTGAGTGTGCAGCCCTGACCTTCTCCCCAAGAGCACTGGTACCCAGATGCCTGGGGTGTCCCACCTGCAGAGAAGATGTGTTGCCAAGCCGATTTGCCAACACAGCTGTTTATCCCGAAGCAAAGAGGAAGGCTGGAAGCAAGCAGGAAAGTCAGCCTTTGGCACGTAGCTCCATAGAACCCTCTGCCACAATAATGACAATGCTCACTAACACATAGCACTCAACTACGTGCCAGGCACTGCTCCAAGCACTTGACTCATTAACTTGTATAATCCTCACAACAGCCCAATGCACTAGGTGCTATCTTGTCACTTCACAGATGAGGAAACTGAGGCACAAGGGGATAAAAGTAACACAGCTAGTACGAGGTAGAGCCAGGATTCAAGGTGGCCTGGGCCCCAAGGCCATACTCTTTATAACTCTGCCAGCTTTAACACATGTCCTGTGGGGATTCCCCCAATTCTTGGCTGACCCTGGCTCCAGAGGTAGGCGTGAGGCCCAGGCCAGGTATCCTGTTCCCATGGCCTCAGTGATTGGTTCAGGAGAGAGCATGGGAGCCAAGCCAGGCCCTGTGGTACCCTCCCCCGGGACTCTCCTGCCAGAGCCTGGGAACAAGAGCCTCTCTCTTTCCAAGAAGGTGGCTGAGCCACCTGAGAATGGAGCCAGCACAGATTGGGGGAGGGGGGTTTGAGCTGGAAAGGTAGAACCCTGAGGACAAGGCTGAACCCTGGGCCCCGCCACACCCACACTTGGCAGTTGTGCCAGTCAGCTAATCCCTTTACCTAGTCAGGGTTGGTTTCTGTCCCTTCTGAACTGTTGGTTACCTTTGAAGTTCCAGTGTCCTGTAGTAGCTGGCACATAGTGGCATTTACCTGGTTCAACATTTTTTATTGATAGCCTTTGGGGTCTACCCTGGCAGCTTTATCACCCATTCTCTGCTCTAGGCTCAGCCCAGGTTGAGCTGCTGAACTACCCTCCCCCACCAAGTACCCATCACATCCGCATCAGCTTTCCTTCCTGTGACCTCTCCTCTCCTTTTAGGTCTAATTCAATTACTTCTCTGAAGGGCCTTGATCACTGGGAGATGAATTGACAACCTCCTTCCTCTGAACCTTTGCTTTGACTACATGGAAACAGTTCGCGGCTCACCTACAGAGAACACCAGCTGCTCGAGGAAAAAGGTACACACCTTTTCACCTGGTTCACCTTTGCACCCCTCCCCTTGGGGCTTGGTATTAGATTTCCTCACGAGCCATCTGCAGGGTAGGGGTGGCAAATATGCGCCTCTGGGGGCCCAGCAGGTGACACTAGTCACGGATGCAGGCCAGGTAGGTCTCTCTTAAAGCAGGCAGCTCAACTGCCAGTTGCTCTGAAGTAATAAGGCCCCTAGGTTTTTTGAGAGAAGCAGAAATTTATATGCTTATGTAAGCATTCTGGGTTTTTAAATGTTAGCAATTAATTCACAATTTGAAAGACACTGTGTAGGGCAAACGCATTTGGAGACGCTGCTAGAAGTGAGGAGTGAATGACTCCACGTCCAGGGCTGCAGCATGAAGGTGTGCGGGGTGTGACCTGCGTAAGGCACTGGGCCAAGGGCAGGAGTGGGGCTGATGTCCAGGAGGAGCTTCACTCACCAAGTCACATGACCAGCATGATACTGTACCCAGCCAGAGGGCTGGTGGATTTCCAAAGCAGGCGGCTGCCCTTCCAAGGTGGACAGAGTCACAGTCAAAAGTAAAAGCCACGTATAACGGCTTGGTCTAGGATGACCCACTTGTCCTGGTTTGCCTGGAGGTTTCCTGGTTTTAAACCTGAAAGTCTCACATCCCAGGAACCTTAGTCCCAGACAAACTGGGATGGCTGGTCACCCTACCTATATCCCTGTTCCCACCCTGACCCTCTAGAACAGTGGTTCTCAACCTTCCTAATGCCGCGACCCTTTAATAATACAGTTCCTCATGTTGTGGTGACTCCCAACCATAAAATTATTTTCGTTGCTACTTCATAACTGTAATGCTGCTACTGTTATGAATCATAATGTAAATATCTGATATGCAGGATGGTCTTAGGCGACCCCTGTGAAAGGGTCGTTCGACCGCCACAGGGGTCGCGACCCACAGGTTGAGAACCGCTGCGCTAGAGGATAATGATAGTGCCAGCTGAAATGTTCGAGCTCATCAAGTACCAAACCCCATGTGCTAGGACCTGCATGGTTTCCCTTATGTCTCATAACATCTTCATGGTGTGGCTTCATTATCCATTCTACCGTCGGAGGTTCAGAGGGTGAAGTGACGGACCCAGGGCCAGCAGTGGCACTGGGGTTTCAACTCACATTGGTCTGGCTCCGTGTCCTCGAACCCTCTCAGAGAGCCCCTGTCTGCTGGGCCAGGAGGCCTGGGAAGGGTCAGGTCACTTCCTCAGGAGCACACTTACCTGATTGGAGGTCCCACCAGGATCAATTTTTGCAGGTCTGAGACCTCTATGCCTGGCCCCCACCACTGCCCAGGCTCTTTCATTTCTGTACTTTGGCTCCAGCCCCTGAATCGGACCACCTGAGAAGCCCTCAGGGGACCCCTTTCAGTTTCTAGAACACCCTAGCCCTCTCCTGTCCCTCCACCCTGTGCCCACCGCACAAACCAGGGATAAGGCTGGCACTTAGAAAATAAATGCTGCTGGGGATTTATTGCTTGGTCTGGGGAGAGCCATCCCAGGCTGGCAGGGGCCAGGGGGCAGGGCATGAGTGTCCCAGGGTCTCAGGGGGCTGCTGAGCTAGTCCTTTGGGGGGCTTGCTGTGCAGGGTCTAGTAAGCGTTGAGGCCAGAGTGGGTGAGTTGGCTGGTCATGTAACAAATGGCTGAGCAGATGCCGTCTACAGTCCTCTGCTCCATCCTCTCCAGCATGCGGTTGACAGAGCGGAGGACCAGCCCAGAGGAGAAGGCCAACCTCGCGTTCCCCAGGATGCTGGAGACCAAGCGCAGGCTGGGCCCTGGGCTGTGCAGCAGGTATGTCACGGAGATGTGTCCCGAGGCCAGGAGGCCCGTGGCCAAGCTCATGGTGGCCTCAGACCAGACCAGGATGTCTGCCAGGCAGCTGATGGACCCCTCACCCGCTCCCAGCAAGCTGGTCATGGAGCGCATGTAGGCGTTCTCCTCGCAGGCTATGTACAGACTGGAGTCCAGACGCCTTCTCCCCAGGGCCACCGTGGAGGCGCTCGAGCAGTCTATCAAATCCCCCTCGGTCACTGCCTGGGACTCAGCTGATGGCAAAGCTTCAGTGTCAGGGTTCACAGCTTCTGGACCCTCAGATTTCTCAACAGCTTCGATGGTGTCAAGCTGGCTGTCTGCATCTGTAATGCCCACGGCAGGCACATTTTGGGGGAACTGTGCTTCAGCACTCGGGGTAGATGGGTCTAGGTCTCGCTCCCTGTTTGGGATACCCACTCTTTGTGGTGTCTCTTCCTTAACCAGGGAGTCAGTGTGGGAAATCCTAAGACTCCGGGTCTTCCTCAAATCTTGCACCGGCCCAGCCCACACTAGGTTCTGGAGACTCAAGGATGTTTGCCGGGCATCTGGGGCCGGGCGGGCCAGCTGGGCCGTGGCCTTCTTGGGCTCCTGACTGTGCCCTGCACCAGCTTCATCTTCATGCTGGTTCTCCTCCCCAGATGCTGCTGTGGCCTTGGAGGCGGCTGACCTGATGGAGGCCGGATCTACATCCTGCTGTTCAGTGGACGCTGCACCGCTAGCCGCTGGGCCAACTGCAGGGAGGGAGACCTGACTTTGGGATCCCACTGCAGGGCTGTCTGGAGACCTGCTGTCACTGTGCGTGGGGATGCCGGCCTCTCCCCAGGGGACAGTGGTCATCTAGGCCTTCTGTTACTTGTGCTGTTTGAGGGAGTAGTGATGGCCCTGCTGGGCTGAGTTGTCAGGGTGGTGAGGTCACAGGAGGGCATTCAACGATGTCACAGGCACCAGCAGAGCCAGGGTAGCTGCGTTCAGTGGGCTCAGTCCCCAGGACTGTTTATAGTCAAGTCTGCCAGTGCATAAGGAGAGAAAGACAAATACATTAGAAAAAGGTGGAGGCGTGTATGCAGGTGCAGGTGCCACAAGGAATCATGATGGCTGTGACTCTGATGAAAGAGAATGGGATGCAGTTGTTCACTTATAATACATGATATAAGGGACCACTCCCAGCACCTTCCCAAGAAGATGTAGTCCTCCTCTGCTCCTGTAACACAGTCACATCTTGTTGGGTTTCTTGTGACCACAAGGGACCTGGCCTGAGAAAAAGCCCCACACAGAGGATGGTGGAGCCAGGGGGATTGCAGAAAAGTAGGGCAAAGCCTTAATCAAACTGCACCTGCAGCCCCCAGCCCCCAGACTTCCTGTGATGGCAGGAGATTTGTGTCCAAATGGCTTTAGTCAGTTGAGCCAGGGCTTTTTGTTACTAGCAGTCACAGGCAGCTTAAGGGATAACATCCCTAGTCCCTAGTCTAAAAGTCATCCAGGGAACCTAGTAGTAGATTCACCACCATCCTATCTCCCCTGAACACCCTGGCTCCTCTGGCCACTAGGGCCCTTGCTCTCCTGTCACCTCTCTCCTGCCTTGGCTTCAGACCTCCCCTCTCAGGACCTCTGTCCACACTGGTCCAGAAATCACTCCACAGAGTCCCTCCCACCCACTTCCTTGGATTCCTCCTTGGCACTGGCGCTCAGTAAAGCAGCTGAAGCCACCTCCACAGACTAAGCACTACAGGGCTCACCATTTGAAGCAGCAAAGATTGCCATTTCTCCCCCAGAGTCTACGCTAATGAGCAGAGAGCTAAAAACCAATCTAGTCAATTGGCCCCTGGGCTCCCCAGGCTTTGGCTGGCTGCTCCTCAGGATGCTCCATCCCAGCTCTGGGCTCCCGGGGCAGCCTCTCTGCATATCAGCTCTGTAAGAGGGTCTCCAGGTTCTCCATCTTCCCAGAACTCCACTTCCTGCATGTTCAAGGCACAAGGAGACAGAGTAACCTGGGCGCCATTAGCAGATGGTATGGGAATTCCACCTAGAACATCACTGGGTTTGTTAGGAAGAAACAGGATAATCAGCCCCAGGGGGTGGAGCTGAGACCCCAAAGGCATTCTCAAGTGACAAAGGAAGTTGCTACCCAGCTTTCTAAGGAGGTGGATGCCATTAGCCCGAGGGCCTTTATTTGGAAAGAGCTGGGTTTGGGCCAGGCGCCTACAGCCCAATTGTTCTGCAGGAGAGGGGGCGAGGGTTCTGGGAAATGAAGGCCGAGTTAGAGGGGAGCAGCAAGGCAGCTGTGCTGAGAGGGAGGGTCAGGCTTCCCTGGGGATGCAGCAGGTGAGGCTTGGGGAGAATAGAAATATCTAGAGGGAATGTTTAAGTTGTTTGTGTTGAGGTCTCCACGGTACACCCGTCACCTTCTCAACAACATCAGAAATCATGCCTTGTTTGCTAGTGCTTATTTGTGTGAGTGCTGGCAGCTAGGGGACTACAAGGTTGTGTGTGTGTGTGTGTGTGTGTGTGTGTGTGTGTGTGTGTGTATTTCTCCTAGACAGTGGTTTGGAGCAGACGACTGTTTTTGGGGACACAGATACAGAGATAGTGGAGGGCTGAGTTACAAAATGGTGCTGTGACAATTGATTAAGTATTTGGAAAAACACTAAGTTAGTTTCTAACTTTCACTTTCAGTTTTTAAAGAAGTAAATACACAGAGAGAGGATTAAAGGCAAACTAAAAAAAAAATATTTTATTTTGTGAAGGAGAAGTACTTTCTAAGCATTAAAGCCAGTAAAAATATTCTAAAGGGGAAAATAGTCAGAGATAAAAAAAAATACTCTAAAAATTTTAAGAGCAAACCACAAACTGGGAAAAATATATTTGCTACAAATACCTTTCGTGGCAGTGGAAAGAGAAGAGTGGAAATTTGACACGCTGTCTGACCTCTATGACACGCTGGCCATCACGCAAGCCGTCACCTAGCCCTAACTTCATCCAGGAGGTCGTCTGGTCTAACTAACATATTATGCTTTTATTATTGTAGACTAGGGGTCCAGTGCACGAATTTGTGTACCTTGTGGGCTGCAAGGCTGCGGTAGGCACAGGGGCGGGTCTTGGCCCATCCTCCATGCCCTGCCCAGCCCCTCCCACCAGGGCCCCTGGGCCCCTGTCTGCAGGCAGCCCTGCTCCCAAGCTGGCCCAGCTGAGGGCTCAGCCTGGAGCGATTGGAGCCGCACCAGCAGCAGGTACGAGCAGGGCCGGCACTGGCAGTGGGTGTGAGCAGCAGCTCCAGTGCTGGCAGCGGGTGTGAGCGCCAGGTGGGACTGCGGTGCACGGGAGCAAAGAATTTTCAGTAACCACCAGAGGCTTGCCTCAGTGACATGACCGGTGCCCTGCCTTGGTCTGGTGCCCCCACTCACCTGCTCCACCATCCCACCATGGCCAATGCCCACCATGTTCCACACACGCCCCCTTGTGGTTTGCGCACATTATAGCGACCAGTTGTTTGGTTGTTCCGGTTGTTCCACTGTTTGGTCTATTTGCATATTAGCCTTTTATTATATACTAGAGGCCCGGCGCACGAATTTGTGTGTGGGTACGGTCCCTAGGCCTGGCCTGTGATCAGGGCCATCTTCCCCGGCTGCCTGCAGCTGGCCCTGCCCCCTGCCGCCACCCACCCCCCGCTGCCACCCACCCCCGGTTCCCTGTTCGCCATTAGGCAATTGGAGCCTGCCAGCTGAGGGGAAGGACCAAGAGGTCAGCCATTCCGCCCGCTCCCTGGTCCTGTTCCCCATCCCAGTTCCCCATTTGCCATTGGGCAATCAGAGCCTGCTGGCCAGGGAAAGGGACCAAGAGGTGGTCAGTGCGCCTCATAGTGACTGGCCACCCGAGGCTTGCCTGGGTTCTGATATTCCAAGTAGATGGACCAGATACCATTAGATACCCAGTAACACAATATGCAAAAGATTAGAACAGACCATTCATCCAAGAAATCTAAATAACAAATAAACAAAGGAAAATATTCAAATATATTAATAGTAGTCAAAGAAAGATATGATTAGCCCTACCTGGTTTGGCTCAGTGGTTAGAGCATCGGCCTGCGGACTGAAGGGTCCCGGGGTCGATATTGGTCAAGGGCATGTACCTTGGTTGCGGGCACATCCCCAGTGGGGGGTGTGCAGGAGGCAGCTGATCTATGTTTCTCTTTCATCGATATTTCTGACTCTCTATCCCTCTCCCTTCCTCTCTGTAAAAAATAAAATATATTTTAAAAAAGAGAAAGATATGATTAAAAAATAAACTATTTTTTAGGTAGTGGTATTATAAGTGACTTAAAATTGTTTTCTTTGGCAAACTGCATTTTCTAATTAATTATTTTACAATTACACTTATTGCTTGCATTAAGAGAAGATTCTAAAAGGTAAAAGCACATGATACCATTAAATAACAAGTGAATAGCCAGAGTCAGAGATTTCTAGTTGTGGTGAACCACGGGCAAATTTTTTCTTTCAACAATGAGTAAGTATTACTTTAAGTATTAGAACTAATTTGCAAGTTAAAATAAATTCCTTCTTCTTTCTAACCTCCCAGAAACCTGTGCTCTGCATGCAAATAGGATTCCTGGGGCCACCCAAACGCCCACTCCACAGTGGGAAGGCAATTGTACTGAGAGACCACCCCTCCCACATCCTAAAACAAAGGGGTGCTTCAGCCCTCCCCACACCATATACACACCCCCTAGGGCTGCCCAGCCCTTAGGACACCTCCATCTCCAGGGCCCACCCTCCTCGTCTCTCCTGACCCTTAGGTTTGGCCTGCCAGCTGCTCGGAGAGGACTCAGGGCCAGTGTGGGACTGCCCGAGGGCCCAGGGAGGAGGGGCAGGCCTCCAGGCTCCCCCCCAAGAGAGGCCTGGCTGGTGGCTGTGCAGTGGCCTGAGGGGGTTCTGAGGGGCTCTGGTGCGGACCAGCCTTGAGAGGGCGGAAGTCAAACCATGATCCCTCTGCTTGCGGCATGTCCCCCCACCCACCCGTCTCATTTACTCCTGGGTGTCTGAAGTGTGTCCCCTTAAAAGGCACGTGTTGAAGTCCTAATCCCCAGGATCTCAGAATGTGACTGTATTTGGAGATTGGGCCTTTAAATTCTAATTGAGTTAGAATGAGGCCATTGGTGTGGGCCCTAATGCAGTGTGACTGGTATCCTTTTAAGAAGAGGCAGTTTGGACACAAACACACATAAATGTCTATAAACCGAGGGGAGAGGCCAGGAACAGCTCCTTCCCTCACAACCCTCAGAAGGAACGAACCCCTCCAACGTCTTGATTTCTGCCTCCTGCCTCCAGAACTGTGGGAAAATACAGTTCTGCTGTCTCAGCCCCCAGTCTGTGGTTCTTGTAATGGCAACCCTGGCAGACGGATGCAGTGCTCTTGAGCAGGATTGGGCCTCAAATAGAATTTTTAAGAAGTTAAAGGTAGATGTCTGCTGGCAAAAAATTTATTATCCAATTTGAGAGACAGGTCATCAGTCTGTTGTCACAACACAGCCCAGTGGGCCAAATGCACAATCCTAGCAGTGTGCAGTGGCAAGATCCAGGATGCTGGCTAGACTTACAGATAGGGCCAGCCGGAAGCCGAGCCATGGGGTACAGAGAGGTCACAGGGTTTGCCCTCAGGCTCCCTGGCTCTCCCCAGGCACAGGGATCTGCTAGTCATCTACAGGGTGGCAGTCAGGTGGGGTGGGGTGGGGGAGCTGTGACTCTGCATGGAGCCAGCTTTGTTCCATTCCTGGGGCATCCTGTGGATGGTGACTCATTTGAAATGCCTGTGTCTCCCAGGATTGGGGCCCCTCAGCTCAGAAG